TCACTCATGACGATCTGGCGTAAAAAAAGAGTACCGGAGGGAAAACGTACAGAGTTGCGCGCGGACCCACACTTGTTCTGTATATCTGCCCCAGTTCTGCCCCCTTGACCCCTTCAAGGCCTTCTTGCCGGGTTTCTGGCCGCAGCCAAAGCATTAAGTGATGAGTCACAGTCTGCACGATGTAGACGCCGTACCCTCGGCCCTCGGCCCGTACAGGGAGACTTTGGGCAGGTCACCCTGCAAATGGCCAAGTTGGATACCCGCCTTGGGCTGATTGCAGAGGTGCCGGCCATGCTTTTCCTGGCTTGGCAAGCCCCGTGCAAACCGCTGCGCGGGAACAGGTAGACCGTCTACTGTAGACGGACTGAGCCAAACTAAGCACTTTGCGTCCAAGCCATGCTCCTCGGTAATGGTCAGCTCGTTGAAGCTCCAGTTGAATTGGCACCTATGGCATCTGGAATGTGCGAATTGCATTATCGTGTAGCAGGTCGTTCGAAAACACCCAGCTAATTCTGCTGAAAAGAGCTGTCGGATAGAAGGCCACCAGGAAGGCTGCCCACCCTGAGCTCTGAAATCCTGTGTCATGAAGGACCCACCCACCTGTCGAAGGGAAGTAGCAGAGCCTGACAAGTCGGAACTCCTGGCCTACCCCGTAGTACCGTAGCTCGCTCTACATAGCGACGACAGGAGCTGTCGGAGCTGCGTCGCTCAGACCGAGATGTGAAGTCGATGAGTTCCCGGGTGCAAGACCTGCAGAAGCTCCTCTACCTGCTCCAGGCCGAGTGGAGGGTTTGATCTTCCGGCCCGGATCAGTAAAGCCGTCATCTGTTCAACAAGGAGAAAGCGCCTTTCAGCTGGGGGAGCTAGGGGAGGGTGTCGACATCGGCCCGGCATCTCTACGACCGGTGAGAGCTCGTCAGCCTTCCCTCGAGGCTGAGGTCATCCATGTGGAGCAGATGGCAGCGAGCTGGGAGACGGTGCCTTGGGGCCTCGGGCATTCCTTTTTGTCTCATTCGAAAGGACATGCTGAAGATGTTATTGAACGCAAGGTGCTTAAGGCTGGCGAGCGCTCTAAGCTGCTTGGTTCGAATTGGTGAGGTTTGGACCATGGTTTCGGCGTTTGTCTTTGTGAATGTCGTCTTGGACTTAAGAGTGCATGCCGGCGTCATTGTAGAGCAAGCCAACGTTTGAGAGCGGCTTGTGGCGCACGGAGTTACAACCCATGAACACGCTGCAGTGCACAACTTGGTGCAGTTTCACGGAGCATTTGTGGCTGCTGGCTGGACGAGACGTTCCTGGGTATTGGGAAAGCCTGGCGAGGGAGAGAAGCTTGCGCATGTGCTGCACACGCCGGCACCCTCACCCTGCCTGACAAGCACAAAAGACTCCTCAGACGCAACCATGAGGATGCATTGCGGCGTGTCGCGGCTCCAGAGTTCTGTCCAAACTATCCACAGGCAACTGGATGAGCTTCTCGGTCTTTCAGTGAGGGAGCCAGTAGGGAGTGCGGGAAGCCAGACGGAGGTGCATAACTAAGGATTCAGCCAACGTGCAAAGAGAAATTGCAGCTGAACAGTTCTGCCAGGTTTTTCCGTTCAACATGTAGTCTGCATTTACAAGGCCTTGGATAGGCACCCTTGCAGCAGTTGTGCTACCCAAGCCATGTATGGGCCGGCTTGCATATGGCCGGGCCGAGTAGTGTGCGTCGGGCGTTCGTGCTTCACAAAGGCTAACTCAGCAAGCAGTGGAGGGCGAGATGGGCGACCCCCGATCAAATCCAGATTATGCACCCACACACCTGGAGGCCCCGGGGGTTGGCGAGATTCAGATATCACACGCATGTGGTGTGTTTGGGGTATTGCTGGGCTTCCTTTTGCTTTGTGATCCACCTTACTTGCTTTCATCGAGACTTGGACATGGTATTCTTCAGCCGACTGGGCGCTCTATCCAATCCACACAGACGTTAAGCGCTGACTTTGGCTTTGGAGGGTTTGCTTTGATGTCGGTCAGGTTAGTCATGTGAAATTCAGCGAACTTAATGCAGTTGGCCGGATTGGGTTTCTGAGGGGCGCGGTGCATGTGCATCAGCGAAGGAGTTCTGAGTTCATGCGCCGTCTAATGGTGCCCGCGCAACTTGCGGACAGATAGATTCTTGGGAAGCTGTTGCCAGACGTTGCCGGTTGCTTCGCTTGCTTGAAGTTGACCTTGTTAGGCGACGTTGGAGGCCATCAAGGAGGAGGGTACTGCCTCGGACCGGAGTCAGCAAACTTTGATAGCACAGGGTGCTGCCCCGAAGCTTGGCGTCTTCCGACGGGGGGAGCTGGGTTGTTTGGCAGCACAACTCCAGTCATTTAGTGGCTTCAGCCCAGGAACATTGAGGTGATGAGCGTTCTTCAAGGCCGTCTCCACTTCTTCCAGGTGCCGGGTGTGTTTTCATGGCGTGGTCGTCGACACAATGAGAGAATAAGGCATGTTAGAGCACATGCAGACATCCATGTACGTGGCTGCTTGGGGTATTACACCCTGAAAATTCAAAAAGCGGCAGCAGATAATTCAGCAAACTGCGGTTGCACTCTCATACCGAGACGATTCTCAACGACAGGAGCTATTGCGTTGTGTCACAGAAGCAGTGGCCAAGCAACTGGGATTTGAGACATGGGGAAAGCTACCGATGTCAGCACAGTCACATCGTGATGCTTCTTTTCCATTTCACCCCTGAGCTTTAGCTTTCAAGGCTATCATCCACTCCGAATTCTGCTGAGGAACGACCATGCTTCCACTCTGCAAAGCATCGTGCGCCATCGGCCGCAGAATCTCGGATGCTTTCCCTTGCCTGTGCAGGCTGGCCCTTGCAAAGCTGGCGGGTCAGAGTGGGCAGTTTTAGGGTGGGCGCAGGCGGAAGCTGTTGGGCCCGGCTTGGAGTTTCGTTGCTTTGTTTCGCTCGGACGGACTTGCGTTGGAGGAACGGGCAAAGCACTACTTATGATGTCGTTTTCACATGCTTACACAACTAGAGCCCACCGAGCTCCAAATTCTGTCAGTCTCAGGAATCCAAAGCGTGCTGGTCTGCCTGCGCTTTCCGCACGCCAGTCCCCAGAGCTGGTAGAGGCCTGATTGTGGTGGGTATGACGTTCTGGGCATGCATGGGGTTGGTCATAGGGTCTAGCTGCAAGGACATGCCAGGACCTCAGCTGCTGCCCAGAACGACTTGCGTTGTAGATGGAGACCTGGGTTCCCAAGAAGCCCCAGTAGCACTGACGGTTGGTTTTGAATTTTGATCTTCCGACTAGCAGCTAAGCAGGAGCCGCCACAGCTGCCGCCGCCAGTGGAGCAGGAAGTTCGGCTGCGAGTAATCCGTCGGGGCTTCCGATGTTTGCAGGTGTGCTTGTCGGGGAAACGCAGGTTGCACCAGGTTGGTGGGAGGCGCTGCCCGGAAGCAACTGCACTCAGAGAGAATCGTCCCCGCAGATCCGAGCCGACCTCTGCGAGTCCTCGCCGTTGCCGCCTGACCGGGGTCCAGCAGCAATGGGGCGCCGGGAGGTGGAACTGGGCGGCTTTGAGAGGTTTCGGATTTGCGGCTTTTGGGTTGAAGAGGGCTCGGTCCACAGGGAAAGGTGGCGGCGTCCAGAGATCAGTCATTGTGATTGAACAGGTGGTGAAGTTTCGTTGCAGCCTTCGGCTCTCGTCTACTCGATGTGTTCGGATTTCGGGATTTCACACCAGGCATCTGCCCTGCATGCCATGGATTCATGGATTGCTGCAGGAGCAAACCCAGGAAAAAGAACCGCAAGAGTCCCAACTGAGCAGCTTAAACACCCGAAGCCCAATGCTTCTTTTTCGTTCTTGCTTTGGCCAGATGTCCTTGGCACAGATGCGGGAGGAAGTCGACGAGGAGAGGAAGCCAGCGGCCCAGGAAGGTTCATAGTTCGAGAATCAACCGACCCTTTTTGGGAGCGGACGGTCGACTGACGGACATGGCCGGTCTTGACCGAACGCGTTGGAAAAGGTTGCTCTTTCTCGGATTCCACGCTTAATCGTGCCAGTGCAACGCAGCCAGGCGCTACATCGCGTACCATCTCGTGCGGGATGAACATCGCGGTCCTGCTTCTCTGTCGACAACCCAAGCTTCCTTCTTCTGACTGCCAGGCAACGCCAACCACGTACATGCCCGCTGAACTACGTACAGCCGTACAGCCCTAGCCCTGCAGTCTGCAGGCACCGGCACCAGCTTCAGATGAACACAGTGACGCATGATGACGATGCATCAGGAATGCTGACAGGGTAGATTTGGGTAGACGTATGTGCTGCTTCCAGGATTTGGTATTGCTGTGGCGAAGTCGCCGGGCCTCACTACTATGGCATGGCAAGGCATTAGCAGAGACGACAGGAAGGGATGTAAGTTGTAAGTGCTCTCGTTGCACGTGCATTCAGCGCAAATCCGGATGCGAAGCTGGTAGTGATTCAGAAGCTGGGCTTGCATTTACTCACGTCGAAAGCCATGCAGACTATGGGCAGAGACCGCCTGTCTCACTGCTCCTACGCGAAATCCGTCTCCGAGAGACCTTTCGCGGCAGCCCTAGACAGAGGGGAAGCTCTCTTCTGCCTATGCATTGAACTGCTTCTGGAGATTTCAGTTTCTGGCAGCACTACAACGCCTCCGCGGGCCGTTGCACAAAAGGGAGCTTCCAGCCTCTGCAGTCACAAATCGCTGCAGAAAACCGTGCGGCACATCGCAAGCATGAGTCATGTGGAAAAAGGCCCGGGAGGTCTTCAATTCTCAGATCCCGATCGCACACGCGACGGAGTCGAGCAGTTATGTCCATTCCCGAACTCCACGAATCTGGTTCAATGTGTCCCCACTAGCCCAGACCCAGCAGAACATGCCTCGGTTGCGCTCGTGCCGAACATGCCGTCACTTACCCGCGAGAATCCTTTCAATCCGTACACGTATTCCATATTGGTCGGGATGATTCCAAGCGTACCCCCAGATCTCATGGAAGGTGGACGATGGAAGTGATGATCCTCCCGCGGCTCAACGATTTCCTGGAAGGCAAGGGCTGCGGCTTGGAGTCTCAAAGAAAGTGCATTGACTTGCATTGACTCGTTTAGCATTAGGATCCGGCTGTGATTGCGCTGGACTCTTTGACTGAGTCCGAGCTGTTTCAGACATGGAGTGTTGCACGCACAATGCACACTGGCTTGGACTAGCAGAGTTTGTGCTGGCTTCGCGGGGACGGCTTGTGCTAGAGATCCTTGAAGATGAACAAATTGAATTCATCATCTGGATCAGTCCGAGCATGAGTGGTGAATGTCATGTGCCTACCAATACCTATCTGCATGGCTTGCCATTCTGCGGTTTCTTCATCTAGCAAACATCGTTTCGGTTGTCACTGAGTCCCGAAGTCATGCCCCTCAGACTTTTTGCTGCAAGCAGCAAAATGCGGAAGTGCAAAGACAGTCTCGTGCTGGGCTTCGAGTCCGAATACGCTTAGAACCAGCTCCACAGCCAGGCTGAGTGATTTTGTTCAATCACGCCTCTCTGCGGAGGAGTTCCCCATCCTGCGCGAGGCCTTAAGCCGAGACGGCATGGACGCAACGAGACCAGGGGAGAGAGAGAGAGAGAGAGAGCCGTAGCCATTTTGGCTCAAGTACTGCACCTTTGCTTGGGGGTGTGTGTCACCTCCTTGCATCGGGGGGCAGCTGGGGGGTTAACTCGGACTGTTCCTCCGAGGGAGCCTTCCCAGTTGTTCCAGCGGTGCTTGAGACCAATCGTCCGCCGCCATTGGACTTAAGAGGCCCCGGTAGCCTCCGTGGAGGACCGCGCAATAAAGGTGACCGGCACGAACGTGAGCTATTTGCTGCCCGGTGACCTAGTGACAGCAAGGACCTCTACCTCAGCTCGCAAACCGAGGGGGACACAACCTTCTGCACCATCCTCTTTCCGAACTCGCTGGGGACGCTTCGCTTACTGAACCAGCACGCTGGGCGGGGGAGAGCAACGCCTTGAAGGTCGTGACTTTCCGGAACACCGTGAAGAAAAACTACCGTGGTGCAGCGGGGCAATGGACACCAGGGGGAAGAGACAACAGCAGAAGGGAAAAAGGCAGTGTCGCCTTTGTCGGCAAGGCTCTGGAATCTGCCAGCAGGGATTTCGGAAGGTACACGAACGCTCCGATCCAGCCTGTCGGTTCCACGGCTACAGCGAGAGGGGATCGGGGAGCCGACCCGTGACACAAGGACGCGAACCTCCACAACACGAAGAGGGGGGGACAAGACCTCCACAGGTCCCCTTCTCACATATGACCAGGTTTAGCACCCGAGGGGGATTGGGACTTCACTTTCTACCTGGACCTCTCGACAAATGGGGGAAACGAGAAATCTATGACGACGGCGGGGTGTGGATGGACGCCGAGACCGATGCGCCGCTCAACCACAAGGAAGCGGGGGAGTACGAAAAGTACCGAGACCGTTTCAAGGCACGGTGCAAACTTGCCACAGCAGCGGACAGAGTCACGAAAATAGTGGACAAGTATCTGCCCGACCTCGCCAACGAGACGCGGGCGCACCTCATACGTTTCCCGCAGAAGGCCGGGGCGCTACTCACAAAAGCGCGCCAGATCCGAAAGAAGCTTCGGAGACAGAGGAAAGCCATGAAGGTGCCAAAGCAACGGAGTCCAGAAGGCCGAGGGGGAGGACCCGCCGCCGAGGCCGCCGTGACAACAGTGCACGAAGAAGACGAAGTCGACTGGGGAAGCACCGACTCGGGCACCACTAGCCCACAACCACACCACCCAGCCGGGGGAGACGAACATGGTGACGACACTGCAACGGCTCATGACGGGGGAGAGGAGCCAAGTTCGAGTACCGCTGCGACAGCCACTGGGAACACTATGAACGTGGGGGCAAGGCGCTTGGGACAAGAGAGACCGCGCACTCCCAGCCGGAGCCCAAAACGACGGGGAGAAGCCACAATGGGGGGAAGGCGCTTGGGACAAGAGAGGCCACGCACTCCCAGCCGCAGTCCACGACGACATGGAGGGGAACGTGTACACCTCCAGCCGAACATACGATGGCAGATCCGTCAAGTACAAGAACATATGAAGAACAGCCGTGAGAGCAGTGAGCACCCGGATGTATAAAAAGTTCAGTGCGCGAGGGACAGGGAACTAAGGGGGGAATTCTGTGTTTGCTTTGCGGTCTTGCTGCCCCGCTCCTTCCTTAGTTCCCGCGTTTCTCCTTTGAACCCTCTCCAGGGAGATGTAAAGCCTACCAGGCAGCTCGATGCAGCAGCCACGTTTCGAACCCAGCCGGGGGAGTGCACGAACCCATGCCATCTGTAACATATATGTCTATTACGACTTTTTGAGCCCCGCCACTACTTGGCGAATCCAGTCCGCCCTCTTGCAATTCATTGCACACCGTCGCCTGACGAAGTCTGTTCCGTCCTCATACCATTAATTCGCCATCCACCCTTGCTGCGAGAGAGTAAGTGGGGATCAATTAATCCGGCTTTTTATGCTCCACAACCTTGCGGCAAACCCTGCTTAGAAGGACTCAGGTACTGGTACGGCTAGCCATAGGGGCGCGGTGATGAGGCCGGGACGCGGGGGGTTTAGAGTTCTAAGGGGGGATTGCTGCACGAAAACCTGGAGCATACTTTGTAGTTCCCTGCCGTAATCTGGATTGGCCCCAATGCCAACCACTCACTAACACAGTGGGGGGGTTGGGCGGGCTGAAAGCCTGCGGGTCTTTCGGGACCCCTAAGCCCAGCAGAAAGAAAGAAAGAGAGAGAGAGAGAGAGAGAGAGAGAGAGAGAGAGAGAGAGAGAGCGAGAGAGAGAATATCAATTTTGGCTCGAGTGTTGCACCTTTGCTGGGGGCCTGTGCTCCCCCCTTGTAGCGGGGGGATGCGGGGGGGTGGTGGGGCTTGAATTTGTGCGGTTCAGGGGAGCCTGCTTTTTTTGCCAGCGGTTTCTTTTCAAGTGCCCCAAGTGTTTTGCGCGTCCTCCGAAACCTCAGTGCGCGCCAAGTCGGGGGCAGGGGCATACTGCCTCCTTTCGGAACTCTTGGTCATCTTGGGGGAGACCGTGAACCTTGCTGTGATTTAGACATCTGTGTGAGCATCATAAATTCGCACCACAAGAGGCTAGCGGCTAGCGGTAAGACTAGTGTTTACAATATCGATACTTGTTGCTCTTAGCAACTCCAGAAGCGCGAGACTTCGGGCCAGCGGCCGGGGAAGTTGTTTGGCGGCCTGGCTTAGAAGCCAAGGAGAATCCCTGGGTTCTTCTGACGGGATTTAATCCTGCGGGGGGTGCAAGGAGGCAAAGGCAGGCTCTTGCCACCTTTACAGATGGTACATGGGGTGAAAGCACCGGAGTCAGGCAATGCATCGCTCATCTTCGGTGAGGATGCAGGCTAATTCCAGCAAGTCTGCAGCCGCCGTAGGCCGTAGGCCGCAACGGCACTAGCTCCTGACACTAAGGCAGGATTCGTCTCCAACAGGACATAGTGACCTCGGTCCCAGTTGTAAATTTGCCACCCCCGAGACGCAAGGGGAGGACGGCAAGGCAGGTCATCGGGTCCCGGCATCGCCCCGATCAGCAGCAGGGTCGGGCTCCAGAACATCGCCGTCCCCAGTGGTGGCATCTGCTGCAGTAAAAGGGGCTGCCCTCTCGCTCACGGAGGATCACCCAGGGAGACCCGCTGTGAGCAGAAAGTGGCACGCCGATCCACTTGCATGTTTCTGCGGTTTGGTTCCAGCAGGACCACGAGGGGGAGTGAGGTTTGGTTAGCGGCTTTTTGGCAGCGTTTGTTTTCTTGGTCTCGGTCGTTGTTTCGGCCGCGTAGCTCTGATTCTGATGCTCCGAATGAGTTCCTGTGCCGGGGACTTAGTGCAACTTGTAACATAGATGTGACAACCCATGGATTGGCATGTGCGAACAAGCGGCCTTTCCGGGCTTTCTTTCACGTCGCAGAAAGACCCACCTCAGCCTTCTTGTTTGTCCGGAGACGACGTTCACTCCGCCCAATTCTTTAACAGCCGTTACCATAGTGCTCCTTTCCGTGCACACAGTTGAACACTTTTTGCTTTTGTGCAGGGTGGATGAGGCAATGCGTGCCGGCACTTCTTTTTCCTTCTCCCTTGCTGTCTGAGGCCTCAGATGACCCATGGGTCACTCGGTTACTGGTTCTGTTGTTTAGAGTTCCAGTTTAGTCTAGATGGGGTCGGGTCGGCCCTTACATTCGGGGGACGTGAACACATCGAAAGTGCACTCCGAACCGCGAGACCACGCCCTGTCCCCAAACCCAAGCAAGCACGCAAGAAAGAGTGAGCGAGAGAGAGGAAGAGGTCCACACTGTCCACCCGACTGCAGCAACTATGGGGGGACAGTGAATGGACAACACCCTGACGTCTGCTGTGCAGCCGAGCCTCGGGGGATCAAATCCCACGAGGACAAAGGACGCTCCGCGAATAGCGGGTGTGCGATTCGCACGGGGGGAGGGGCCTGGATGCTGCCCCAATCCCCAAGCCCGGTAGGGAGAGAGAGAGAGAGAGAGGAAGAGGGCGGGAGAGAAGGAAACAGCAGCTTAGTTTTGCTAACGTTGCTGAACGGTTGCAAGCTGATGCCCACGACGCAAGTGAAGGAAACTCCTTGCTCAAGCGCTGGGGGGAAGGGCCTATGTCAGAAGACTGACCTATCAACGGCGGGCTTCAGAGCAAAAGAGACAGACAGAGAAAGCACGGCGAGCCATAGCCCGACCAAAGCAACAACGACTGAGTGACGACAAGCCCGCAACACCACAGCCCTATCACATAAGGGGATGGCCAGAAGTTCTCTTCCAAGCCTTTCCAGTGCCCTCAGGAACCATTTCTTCGAGCAATTTGCTATCTTGCTAGCCGCAGAAGAGTGTGAGGGCAGGAGAAACCCAAATAACATACAGTCGGTAGTATGGAGACAAAGGCACCGTGAGCCCTGGAGGCAGCTTACCAGCGTGGCTTCCTTCACCGCCTGGACGGGTGTGGGCTTTCATTTGCTTCCATTATCAACCATGCAGCATTGGGAAGGGGATTTTGACAAGGCTTGTGTTTGCCGACGGGAGAATTGCGTCTAATATTGGCAAAAGGCAGCTGGTGCAGGTTCAGGTTCTGTTTTTCCAAGGCGGTGGTTGGCAGGATACTGATCTTTGCTTGGCGCTTTGCATACGGTCGACCGATAGATGCGATGGACATTCAACAAGCGGCTCCTCAGGCCCAAACATGTCGCCGGACCTGGTAGGTAACGTTGTGGAAGCTATTCCCTCTGTCTTGGCTTTTTAGACGTAAGCCTGAAGTATAATTTCTAACCCCCCGCAGCTCCTCAAGGATGTCCCCACCTCGGGGCTTGTCCTGGTCGCGAAAACGCTTGGTGCCAACTTCTCAGCTGCGGTGCGACATTGTGCAGCCGGGCGGGTGGCAAAACCAACTCCTCAGCTCTTTCATGTCTGGCGGAGATTAGACAGAAACCAGAACTTGTTTACGCGTGTTCTTGTCTGCCTTTGGGTGCTCGAAGCCTCCAGAGCTAAATGAAGAAAGAAGGCCCTTTTGTCTGAAAGAAGCAGTTTTGCTTCCGAGGCCTACCTGGCCATTGCCTGAGACCAGCGGTTTGCAGGGAGGGCTGAATCTGAATGTCGTCCGATCTCGCTTGGGCAGGCATTGCAGGCGCTATTACATTTGGCACCTTCTTGTCGCTAGGGCATGGCTTAAAACGTTGGGTGGGCATGAGGATCTTCGTCTTCAGATGGCAGCTGGCAAACTGGCGTGGCACTCGGGCTCGAGTAGGTGCAGAGTGCAGAGAAAAGTGCTGGGACGGACCATGCGCTGGATTCGATTGCTTCGTAGTGAGTTTCATCGAGCCGATTGACTTTATTCAGCTGTGACTACCACGGTCTTGGTGGAGGACTAAGTTTCTATCAAGATAAGCACTATCTCACTACCAGACGGACGGCAACGAAAGACTCCAGCATACGTGCAAATGCGCTGGAGATGGATTGGTACTCAACCATCGCAGAGATAAGGTGCTGCCGGCGGCAACCTCGAAGAACGTCACATGCACGCGCATGCACACGCATGCACACGCATAGAGAAGCCGAGTGCTGATGTCCGCAACGGTGGGACGGGGGGGTGGAATATCGCTTCAGAGAGTTCCGTAAGCCATGGGAGCTGAACAGGTGCAGGCATGCAGTAAGTTTAAGCTTTGCGGTAGTAGGGCAGGAGAGCAGTGATTGAATTTGACTGATCGCCCTGTGGTACAAGTGGTTTTCGGAAGCCGGGGCAGGGATTGCTGTGGCATGTCCGACCCGGAAGAATCTCGAAGAACAATATGTGCCTACTGTAGCTTTCAGCTTGGCACCGCCGAGGCCAGAGAGTATGCAACTCGGCTTTAGAGATTCCTTGGCTTCGAGCTGTTGGGACGGGGTGGTCCTCGGCCGGACAGTTTTCGTCCCCGTCCTTTGCCAGGTTGTCGTCTTGCACGGCAGCGGCAGCTTGCCATGCCAGAGAGAGGTTGCCGTCCGCATCCACTGGGGCATGTGCGGCCGCGATGCCCCGAGCGAACCGGCAGCACAGCATTGCCATTGAAGTCTTCATACGGTTTCAGCGCTGCAGCTTGTGCCTGTGCGGTCGGGTCGTCCTCCTTTCTGTTCACACTCTCTGCTCAAAACCCAGACTGCAACCTTGTTGCAGCCAGAAGGCGTGGTGGCACCTTTTGGGAAGCCGGCAGACACCAGGCACCAAACTCTCTGTGGGTTGTTGAATGGTGCAATGTAGAGGTTCCGGATTCAGGCCTTCAGCACTTGTTAGTTAGCCTAGCTACAGGTGGATTGGATGTGTTTGTACGCTCCCGATGGCAGAGACATGGTTTGCAGTTCCGGGCATGCTTTGAACCTTTCGAGGCGTGCTTCGGAATTCGTACTGACTCGCAACTCAGTCTTGTTCGGAGTGCTTTGCATGGGCCTATCCCGCAACGAGGGACTGTAGGTCTGTGGGTGATCACCGGTCTCGTCTTGCTGCGCACCACCTTTTCGCTGCGATGTTGGGGCTTCTGCCACAGCGCCTTTGTCCGGCAAAGCTCGAGGTTCAAGCTCCTGGCCCGCATGGCTCTGGGTGCCAAACTCTTGAGCCTGGCAGTCGCCCGCATTGGCACCGGCAGAAGGCAGGGGATGAAGTTCATGGGGACATACATTTCACTGGTTGGGCACGGCTAGGTCATAACTTGAGTGCGAATTGACATGTGAGCATTGGAGAGGAGGATGTTGCTTGACAGGCTTGGATATTGGACTATAGAACTTCGACTGCACTTAGGCACCAGATTCGCCTTCATGCAGCACACATTGGGCACCCGGTGGCAGCCGATGGCAAATATTCCTGTTGGGCGCTTACGTGCTCTGCCGTGAGTCTTCACTTGCTGCCACTAGCTCTCGACACCTGACTTGGACTTGACCACTTCCTTGGCGGCTAGCGACTGGGAGGCGAGTCAGTACTTGTTTGCCGCCCTGCGTGGACTGTTGCACGGTTTCTGGCTGTCATCTGTGCAACCCAGATGAAGAAACAAGTTCATTAGGTGGTTTCGAGGGAACTCATCATCGTTTTTCAAATCGGAGATGGGCAGTTGAGCCTGATTCCTTAAGACTTCTATGGAGCATCAGGCTGCCTGTTAGTATGCCCCTGTACAGTCCGGCAAAGTGTGAGGTGAGTCCGAATGCCAGAGCCGAGCTTTTTCAGCTTAAGAACGGAGAAGCGAACCCGAAGAGTTGACCTGAGGTCACTCGACATGCTCGGAGGACTTGCTGTGGTGTCCAAGCCACTTGGGTCTGGAAAGAACTCGGGATCTCGGGAACTTGGGCCCTGGCAGTTACGAGCAGGAAGGCATGGCAAACTGCACTGCGTTGGACCTTCCGGACCGGCTCATCTCCGTGCATTTCAACATTTTTCAACAATGCCAGTCAGCTCAAGAATTCCCAACATGCATTATCATGCATACATAAATGTGCTGCATCTCTTGGTTGCGGACCTGCCGATCTTTCGCTGCTCTTGGTCATGGATATGCAGGTGTATGTGCAGAAAAGGACAGCATCAGCGGGGAGACGTCTAACGTCTACAGCTTGTGTAAACGTTCGAGACACGAAGCAGACGGAATCTCAACTGTTGTTTGGGCTCTGATCGTAGCAAGGCACCTTTCTTCACCGCTATCGCTTGGCCTTCTGGGCCCCTTCGCATCGGCAGCCAGATGCCCCGCTGGAGGTCTGCTCTGGCAGTTCTTGCGTTCTCTACTTCACAGTCCGCTCTGTCTGTGTACTGTCATGGTGCGACAGGGGCTAGGGTTAGGGAGGAAGTGTTGGAGTCGTCTGGAAGCTGCATGGGGTGTGCCCTGCCACGGCGGCTTTCGGAGGGAAATTATGGAGAGTGTAGGGTTTCTCTCCTGAACCAAGCTGTGCAGATTGTTATCTGTGCAATCCGGACACTTCGAGTGTCTGTCTGAAGCCAAAAGAATGGGAATATCGGCGCCCGAACAGAGATGCCCAGATGGTTTCGAGTTGTTGTCATAAGGACTGTCGTGCGGTTATGCTATGCTGTAGAGCTCTCAGGCTGCAAGCTTCAAGGCTGTGATGCCATGAATGCTTTCTGGCAGACGCGGATCTGTAACCCTTGTCAGGCGAACGACTGCCGCCTACCGCTCCCGCCGCCCATGAGGGACGCGCTGAGGCGGCATCATGAGTTGAGTCTCAGGTTTCCTTTCGACATCCCAGGAGCCTGCAGTAGTTGGGTTGCTGGGATGTTTATTTCGGGCTGCTTGGGTATTTATTTCACTCTGTCCGAATCGTCTTTCTGCACTCTGCTCGCAAGCTGGCACGCAGTATCCGGGGTGGGAGGCGGATGACTGCATGTTTGCGGTTTGGGATGCTTCCACGTTGGTGAGTTCGGGGTTCCTGTCCTATCCATTGCGAGTATTAGGGTTTCCGCAGGCCGAGCTGATCCCATGCTTTTGTTATCTGCCGTCAGAAGTTTGGATGAGGTTCACTGTGTGTCTCCAATACTTGTCGCTTGGATGTGCTGACAGTGACAGAGGAACAGCGGGCAAACCCTTCCCACATGTCCCCTGCATTCCCTGAGCAAGGGCGCCAACCTGAAGAGCCGGAAAGAGAAGTGCCATTCTGTCAGGCTGCTGTCGCCTTTGAGTCCTCGTTCGACTCAGGAGTTGCTTGGTTTAGGTGGACAGGGGAAGCAGCCCACCGCTTCGATTCGCGTTTCCAAACGGTACAGACGAGGGATCCCGCGGTGTGGCTTCGTTGAGATTTGCGTTCAAGTTGGGCTGACCTTCTAGGGGAGCTGAGGCAGACTGGGGCGAGTGTTTAACAATGAAAGATGCCAAGACCGATCCCGCATTTCATTTGTGTGCCGGCTCGTCTCTGCCGCAGAACTGCGGAATAGATTGCGGATGCTGAGGCTTTCGAATTGGATCTCCGGTGATCCGTTCGACCTGAAGCCCTTCAACGACTATTGAGAGTCGCGAACAGTTCTTTCACTAGAGGGACCTCGCCAGCAAGGAAAGCAGCAGTTGAAGCAGGTGAATGGGCCTTGGAAGCTCTGCTGCTCCGGCCATGGCATAGTTTGGGATCCGACTCGGTGCTGGCGAAGTGGTGTGCAAGCGAAAAGACGAAGAGCCAAAAAGAGCCAGTTCAGTCGGAGTATCCCAGTCCTGGGGACGTCCACGAACTCGGGTCATGGCCATCTTTGTAACTAGGGCCTAGGGACTTCTCGAACACACTAACCGGAATAAGAACCCAACCCACCATGGTAGCTGGACATACTTGCCTTAACTTGTCTTGCCATTCTCAACGAGGCAAAGACGTTTCGGAGGCAATGCCTCTCGTTTGCCGACGAAGGCTCTCCGATGTGGTGAGAGTTCAGGGTGTTGGGAGATCAGGGATTGCTATGACAGAGCGATTGGTCTGGCACTCTGGGGTCCTGTTGTGTCGCATCATCTTATTTGAGAAGTAGAGTACGCGCGACAGCTCGTCGACCTGTCATGATTGCCTCGCCGACAGCAAATGCGCAATCTCCAAAGTCACACCGGGGAACATCAATGCCGGTAGACATGCATGTTATGGACATGGCCTTCCATCGAGCATCACAATGACAGTAAGCAATATTGAGGTCAGGCGGTACAGTCATAGAGCCATTGCGCTAAAATAGGCACGAACAGTTCAAGGTGAATATTTTGTCGAAGTCACAGCCGGCGCCCTGTACCAGCAGAGGCTCTCCAATCGGTGTTGGAGCTGCTGCGCGACACGGATGAAAGACAGGCCGACCGCGCATTGACGTCGGCAGGGTTCAAGCACCAGGGGCTCAGCACACGCTTCTGATGCGATGGCGGACCTCTTGGTAGGAGTTTCGAGTCGATAGACAGCTTGTATCAAGGGTCAATGTGTATTCAGATTGTCGGTTTGTGTGTTTGCTCGTTTGTGTTTGCTTGTTTGTGCATGTGTGTGTGGGCTTCCCCTTTATCGCGTTGTTGTGTTTGTTTGTTTGCTTGTTCACTTCTTTGTTACTATGATGTTAAATATCTGAGCAGACTGTCCGTTCCTTCACATCGCTTCCCTCGCTCCTCCGTCGTTTTCGTCAACATGAAGACATCTGCGGCTTTACGTTGGCGGGCTGCATGTTTGGTGGCTGGCTAGCCAGTATTGAGGGCTGCAGCACGTGGCACGGCCAGGTTTGCTTTTCGTTCCCGGCCTGCTCGGGTTTCCGCGGCCGTGGGCCTGTAACACTTAGGCCTAGGCTCGAACATGTACATAAATGGCAGTCCCGAAAGACGTCACTCAATGTGCACCCCTCCGATTGTCCCAGCCGTCGCCGTTGGGAATCGATGCCCAACACCTCTGTCCGTGTGCAGGCGTCGCCAGCTGTTGAAGTGCCGGGGTGCACCGGAACCTCGGCTGCCATTCCGGCTAGGGGTAGAGTCGTCCTATCGTGGGTGCTGTGTTCACATGTACGACCGTGTCCTAGGGTTCAGGTCTACGCTCCTCACGCCAAGTAGATTCAGATGTTTCGGGCTTAGAAATGAAGGGCCAGAGCGGGGATGAGGAACATTTATGGTGGTAATCTCTGTGTGGCAACACGCCCCTGACCAGCAGGAGCTGGATTGCAACATATTCTTACACTTGTGTTATTGTGCCCTGTGGCTGTGTCGGTGTGCGGTACTCGCTTTACAGAGAGAGGTGCACCGCGTTCTGAACTTTCGTGTTCCCGGGAGCCCACTTTAGGCACTACTGGGGCTTCTCCGTCGGACCGCGCACACCCCAGCCGGGGCGACCACGCAGATTTCAGCATGGAGACGGTAACCGCTGTTCAGTGAAGCGTGGGTGGCTTCTTCCAGAAATCCGCGTGTTTTGGTTTAAGTTGCAAGAGCAGCAGACAGCTCAGCTTGAGACCTGTAGATGTCAAGCTTGTAGGGCCATTTCTGCCTTGCCCCAGAGTATGAGTCGTCTTCCCCGCATCTGTGCCTCCACCTCGGGATGTCTGCCACTCACGTGTGCTTAAGTTGAAGTGTTGGCCTCGCACTCCAGGGTGTCCGACGCTGGCACTGCTCGAGGAGTTTGCAGTGCAAGTGACGGGTTTGATGATTGATTGAGTTTTTGCACCGACAATGCCCATGGCTATTACGCATTAGGCTCTTCATCGGGTTCAGCCAGCTTGATGTTCGCCAAGTTCCATGCCTATTGTTCCTTCACTATGCACGAGTCGAGGAAGCGCTTGCAGTGCTGTCCACGCTTCTGTCGAGGTGGGCAGCCGAGGACTGTCCCGGCTGCAAGCACAAGTAAATGTTTTTGTCCGCCATGCGCGGATTTCATACACGCAAGCGGCTGGCACTTTCCCGTCACGAAGTATCTTCAGGCTGGAAGGCTTGCGTGATGCATATACCTATGTACAATTGGTGTATGAGATGTGTGGATATGCATCAACAAGATACGAAAAACAGGTAAACGCACATGTGTGTATACCAATCTCTCTCCTCTCGGTTTCCTTATGTCTCCCTCTATGTTGTAGCTGCTGGATAGCATGTCTTTCTATCCTGTCGTGTATGCGCTTCTATGCCTACTTGTATATATATATATATATGTTTAAACAGATAACATTAAATTAGATAGGTAGATAAACAGAGGGTTAGACGGTTAGACCATCTGTATATATGTATATATACATATGAGTATATATAGAAAGAAGCGTGCATGTGTGTGTTTGTATGTATATATACTTGTGTGTGTGTATGTATGTAGGTAGGTAGGTAGGTATGTATGCATGTATGTGTCGATGCTTGGACAGAAAGTCTTCTTCGCCTTCCCAACAAGGCCAGCCATTTGTCCTTGCACTTCGATGGTATTCGATGGTCTTCGTGTGTTGAAGGACTTCATCGCAACCGACTGGATATCACCGCCGAATGGGGGTCAACAACTTTTTGAACCGGATTCAAAGTCAAACTTGTCAAGAAGACGCACAGGACTGCTTTCGGTCTCCGCGGGCAAATCCCATGGAGCCCCAAAGCAAAATACGACGAACGTATGCACACATACATGTACACATTCTCGGTGGTTGTCAGTGGTTTAGAGCTCGCATTGTCATGATGCGTATTTCTGTATGCTCATGTTAAGACGACAAATCGCATTTCGAACTCTTCAGGGCGATGACTTTTCATGAAGCAAGAAGTTACATGAGGGTCCCATGTCAGTCCCAGTTGGGGAGGTATTGGTGAAATTTTACAGAAGCGCGAAGGGAGCCCCGTTTCAACTCTTCCTGGTGCCTTGCTTTCTCCTTGGTCAGGAGCCAGCCGGGAAGGTTCCGCCCGTTGCGTCGGCAGCTGCGGAGTGCTGGAACCTAAAATGTGCAAGTATATGATATAATATCGTATGATTGTCTCATTTGTTCGTGTTCCCGGTCGTAGTC